TTGAAATCGCTGAGTCATCGGTAAGGCCCATCAAATCTAAAGCCCATAACGATCGCAATGAATCAGTTACGCAAGAAGAAAGGTTTACCATTGCCGTGTTTTGAGATACTATTTCGCTCTCTTTATCTTGAAGGCCAACTGGGACCCATCCAAACATAGTAGAAATCGCATAAATTTCCTTTCCTAATTGAATCTTTTCCCCCCCTTACCATTTTCCAGTAATAATCCACACCTATTAGAATTCCAACGCTTCTTTTACATAAACAAGCGATTCGCAATCCGCACTCATACATCATTTTTAGTGTTTGTTTTGACGGCGTGGTCATATGCGCAGCCGTTATGGCGTCAGTGACGAGACAGCTGATTTTTATTTTGTTCTTTTGCTTCGCATCCGAAACACACAATTCGACAACCTTATATGTTTTAGGTACTGCGTATTTCATTCTGAAAGAATAAATAGACAATGTTTCTTCTCCAACAAATTTTAAGTTTAATTTCTTAACTACACTAATATGAACGAAACTTCGTGTAGCACCACAATCGAAAATTAAATTAGTTAACTCTGACTTTCCGTCATAATGAGCTAACACTGAACAGGTTTGCAATAAAGCATTTTTATTCAATGATTCATCACATGGAACAACAGAAAGTGTGTGTTCTTTCGGGGAGTTTTGTGTTTCATCTACTAAATTATCTCGCGAGCTTTCGCACAATTCTTTTATATTTTGATTTGAAGCCGTTCGCGCTTTGTTACGATTTGAACTACTCGTACATAGTGATTCATGATGCGACTTAAACCCGCATTTTAAGCAGTTAGTTTTATTTCTGCACGATTTCCAAATGTGATATTTTCGAAAACAAATAAAGCATCTATTTTCAGTACGTAACTTACACAATTTTTCTTTAATGCTTTTATCACAAGAAAATGAATTATGGGACTTTTCGCAGAAGATGCATGCACGATTATCAACAGCATTGAAACTGGCAGCTGTAGGTACATTTCTGTGAATTTTTTTATAATCAGACTTAGCATGTTCGAAACGTGGAGGCAAGGTATTTCTTTTATCTCGCGTCAATAAACTCGACGCTTCACGACATTCAATTTCCCGCTTTATGAAGTCCAACAAGTCTGAAACATTAATTTCTTCATTTGGGATTTTCCCTCGATTAAATTTCAGAACGAACTCTTCTGGAATAGCTTTTAACAACACAGGTATTAATAACTGACCAAATGAACCTTTCGTAACTCCTTGCGCTTCCAAATTCCGAACTGCAATTTCGATTTCATCATATAACCTACGTAAAGCTTTAATATTATTTGAATTCCTTACTGGTTCTAAATTTAACAGTTTGTTCATGAATTGACTAATTAATTATTTCTTTTTTCCCGAATCTATTCCTTTAAAGATTTTTATACTCTCATCGTAATTTTTTGCATTAATTCTAATGAAGATACTACATTACTCGCGGCACCTGTAAGTAATGTTTTCAAGTATGCGAATTTTTCTATCTTACTAAGACTTTCGTTTTTGTCTATAGTGTGCTTTCGTAACTGTTCCAAAACTCCGTAAATTGTTTCAGGATCACCGGAATATTTCTCTAAAATTAGTTTTGGAAGTTTTACTTTCAGTACTTTGTACATTTTGAAGTCTAACCAAGTTTTGTTCACGATCTTTAATACTTATTTTATCCTCTTCCAACATTCAATTAATTCGTTTAATAGCTCGAGAACATTTTTCCTGATATTCCTCAGAACTAACTACATCCGCTTCTAGAGAATCTATCTCAATTACGGAATGAATTGCCTCGTCTAATTCTTTCAAATTACTTTTCTTTTCTATTAATAATTCATGCACTTCGCATAATTCATCTGTATCTTTCTTTACTAAGCTATCCTCCACTTTCTTTAGTAGTTTAGATACTACCGTTCTCAATGCGGTTCTCTTTCGTTTTAATCTATCTAGTTCTGCCATTATTTCGCGTTAATACACAAATGTACCTAAGACTGCAAATTATCAAAATTCAAATCAAACACGTTCAAAGTTTAATAATAATCATGCTCTTACCTAGGGCATGGTCTGGACACGTACTTCCTCGTGAAGTTCACTTTAACAAATCCAAACTTTCCGTAAGATGCACCATTGTGACTTTCCTGCATTTATCCATGGCGGCCCGTAGAGCAAGCACAAAACATCCGATGGTTCAGTTTTCTAATGCTATTTATTATTCGTTATATTTACATATTTACAACTGTCCTATTGTTAGGTGGACTACCTTCACAGAAATCATGTTGCCTAATCAAACGACATTTCGTTTCTACTTACATGCGTTGCGCTACTGCCAAGCAGCGCCCTCTACTTCTTTCTTTACAACACCAATGTCCCAGTGGAGGGTGCATTAAGATGTCTAGAAACCAGACTTCGTGAATTTCATTTCTCTTGCATCGAAATTAATGAGCTAATTTCTCTCACTCAACTCTGTTTGAAACAAACACATTTTGTTTTCCAAAATAAATATTACAAGCAAACTGAGGGATTAGCCATGGGATGCCCCCTCAGTCCCATCCTGGCTGATATCTACATGAATTATTATGAATCAAAATTGTTTGAACTTTAAACTTCCCGGCATGGTTCCGCTACGTAGACGATACTTTTACCCTGTTTGAAGGTAATAAAGATGATTTAAATAAAGTTCTTTCAACAATGAATTCTATTGATCCTGCTATTCAGTTCACTTTTGAACTTGAGACTTGCAATTCTCTTCCGTTTCTCGACATTCTGGTCACACGTAACACATCCAACTTCAGTACTATGGTTTACCGTAAACCTTCATCGGTTTGCCTTCCACCAACACTTTAAATCATGTCATCTGACTAAACAAAAGTTAGCTTCATTTTATTCCTATGTTTTCCGTGCTCTTCAAGTTTGCTCCTCCAAACTAGCCCTTGATGAAGAACTAAATTATTTAAAAGCAATAGCTATTGACAGGGGCTTTCCTTCCAACATTATTAATCAAGCAGTTAAAAAATTCTCATCTCAACACACTAAAAGCCACACTCTTATTTTAGGAGAATATAAAAATTCTGTTGTCATTCCCTTCTTTCCATCAATTAGCTATAAAGTTGCACATATTTTGCAGAAATTTAACTTTCGGGTTGTTAATTGTCCCATCAATAAAATTCGGACTTCTATACTCAAGGACCCCATTCCGGATATGAATTCCTGGGGTATTTATAGGATTCCTTGCCAGTGTGGTTTAATTTACATTGGCCAAACTAAGAGACCCTTAAAATTTCGCGTCAAAGAGCATGAGGCATATGTTAAGAAAAAGGAAACACAGAAGTCTTCTGTTGCTCAACATTGTTGGTCCGAAAATCACACTTTCAATTTTTCTGCTGCTAAAATTATTCGAAAAACATCTTCCATTGGAGAACTGGATTTTCTAGAGGCATTTCACATTCATAAAAATCTTTCTGTTCTAGTTAACGATCCTAATTCCAATCCAAATTTACCTTCGGCTTTAGAGAAATTATGTTTTTAGTTCTGGTTTCGCCAACACATGGCGCCACTTGCTTATTCTTGTCCAGTCTTTCTTATCTTATCTAAATCATTATTTCCTATCTTTGTTCATTTACGGTTTTTGCAGCTGAAGATGGTGGTTCGGTAAAAGCATCGAAAACTAGTCCTGTGAAAATTTTGTAAATATAACGCTGATTTTTGTTGTTTGACTTCTGAATTAGTATTTATTCGGCGTGTTGTGTCTTAATTAGATCTTGTTAGACGTGAATTTTTTCTGTTTTTACCGTTTCAATGTCGAAGCGTCGAAAATGTTTAACAGAGCATGAAATAGCAGAAATGATGCAAAATATTTCAGATATTGATTCTGAAATTCTGATATTGATTCTGAAAGATTAACTGAAAGACATTTTCCAAAACTTTGTTCAGAAGAGACTGATAAGAAAATGAGACGACGATGCTTCGTTTGTTCACATTTCCGGAAAAATCCTCCAAAACGGCAAATGAGTTATTACGAGTTCAAGGAATGTAACGTAGGACTGTGTGTAGGTCCCTGTTTTAAAAATTTTCATACGAAAAAAGAGAATTTTAAGTAATATATTTAGTTTTCAGATGTATAATGTTAAAAGTCATAAATGTGAGTAATTAAAATAAAATGTGTAAATATGCATTTAAACAAGAATAAGGTAATTAAAGTATATATAAAATATTTATAAAGCATAAGCCGTTTAAATATTCTATAGAGCATTATTAAACAATGCGTTGATACTTCGGAGATTTCATGGATTTAGGCTTAGTAGCAAAAAAGCCCCCGGTCCTGGAGAGACGCTCGCGGAAGACACTGCCGGCCTCCGCGATAAGCGCGCGTTTTCGCTACCCGGCTCGAAGGGGTTAATTAAAGGAAACTGTGACTATACTAGATTAAACAAAATTCGACATGCATAAATTTGATTTAATTGATAATGGCAAATCATCCTTAGGGTTATCTTCCTAAGGGAAGGGATGGCTTCATGGAGGACATTCTGAGGGAAACTTGGCTTGGATACATATTACACATGGGAAAAACACCCATGCAGCCAGTCTGTTTGACTGGGATTGAACCCAGGTCAAAACTACCAGTGTTAAGAGATTTTACTGCTTGCTCATTGGTGGCTTCAATACGCTTAAAGGTGTAAGCAACTTTATGATGGGGTGCTGTTACGATTGTCCTGCCTTATTTACCTTTTTCTGAGTGTCCTGCCTTATTTACCTTTTTCTGAGTTATTATTTCGTAAATTATTTTAGTGTGTAAAGTTATTTTTATGTAATAGTGCTATATTATTGAATGTAGTACCTTCAGTGCAGAAAAACTAGTATAGCTTGTGTTGTTTCTTTGGATATATTTAGAGAGTGAAAAAAGTGTGTTTGTAATTTCTTTGGATGTTTTGGACATTTTTCATGCATATTTATTTATTAATTCTAACTTTTGTAAATTTTATTTTTCAGACAACAAAAGGGCCACCTATAGCTGATATAAGCACAATATCTAGATTAGCTACACTAAAAAATCATGGGCTCAAGAGGTGTAGAATTTCTCCTGTGGATAAAATATCTACTGTAAGATGCTAAATAGTTCTATACAGTTTGCATCTAAAATATTCCTTCTGATCTGATATATATATATATAATTCTCTTGATCAGTCATATTTGTGGTTTATGTAGTTCTTGAAAATACAAACCCTTTTTTGAAAAAATAAAAAAGAATACTGTTTTTTTCTCTAGAAGCTTGCATGTAGAATGATCCAGATACATGTTTTCTCTAGATGAACTAAAATTGAATGCATTATTAATTTAATTGCATGTTTTTATTTTCCTGTTTATTAATATATAACATTAATATTGTTTTCATATTTTGTTACTAATTTATACTAGGTTGTTTAACCGTTTTCCATGGATAAAATTGCTATATATTAATAAGTAGGAAAATATTGGGAATACAAATAAGTCTGCATTGTTTGACAAAAAAAGACACCAGCAGCAAGTTGTGGTTAAAATTGTCTAATGTAAACATCATAAGGTTGGACATATGCTAACAACATAACCTTGAAATATTAGCGATTTTTTATTAATTTTTTTCGTACAAAAATGTCTTAAGTTTTGAGCCAAATGAGCTTCATGCACGGGAACTATTGATTTGCTTCTTTAATTTGAAGAAATCTACAGCTGAGGCACATTGATTGCTTGTAGAAGCATATGGTGAGGCTTCCTTAAGTGAGAGAAGTTGTTGTGTTTCAAAGGTTCAAAGGAATACAGATTTAATGTCAAGGACAAAGAATGTAGTATAAGGATGAAAGTGTACGAAGACGTGGAATTGAAGCATTATTGGATGAAGTAGCAAATGCACGTAAAACGTCCATTTACATTAGGAGTAACTCGACAAGCAAGTTCACATTGTTTAAAATCATTGGGAATGATTAAAAAGCAAGGAAATAGGGTTACGTATGACCTGAAGCCATGAAACATTGAATGCAAATTTTTTACATGTGAAATGCTGCTTGTCAGGCATAAACAAAAAGGTCTTTTGCATTGTTGCATCCGGCTTATTATTTTTTGCAGACTGTTAGAGCAATTTTATAAAAAGTAAGCTTGAACTTTCGATTATGTCAAAAAGAGTTTCCGATTCTGGAGCTGCCAAAGGATCTACAAAGCGAAAGCATGTTTCAATGTCCATCAAACAAAAAGTGGAATTGCTGCAAAAAATGGATAAAGGCATGAAGAAAGTGAGTGAGAGGTTAGTGAAAACGAAAAAATTTTGATTGACAAGTTAGTCGGTATTCTCGACCCATCAATTACGGGACTTGAACAGCGGAACTTTGTAACTGAACAAGAAATTGTGTCCTGTTTTATAAATTAAAGAGAAGTATTAGCACATAAAAAAGCAACTTAAACAACTTACATTGAAATAAATGTTTAATAAAGTAAACAAATAAATATTAAGCTTTTTTTCTTTGTAAATTTTGATACCCCTTTAGATCATAATTCCTCTTTATTTCATAAATTACGGTTTCATATTTTTAATTGTATAATTTCTGCATGCCATCTTACCAGATTTAAATTAATGATCTATAATCCGGAATCGCTGTATTTCCGACGAGTCCGAATTAAAGACTTTGTACTGTATTATGAGTTGTTCAAACTGAACGAAACCATAAATGTAGTTGTCTACCAAACATAACTGATGAGATCAAAAAGAGCACTCGAAGAAAAATGTACCTGCTACTACGGACATGACAAAATTATTCTCCTGCATGATAACGCTCATCCACATGTGATGCCAGACAAAACAGAAGTTCCCCACCCCTGCTGTATTCACGAGACATTGCTCCTTCTGATTACTACTTGTATTGATTAATGACACGTGGCCTGTCTAAGCAGCGTTTCACATCATGTGAAGGTACTAAAAATTGTGTTGATTTGTGGATGGCTTCGAAGGATCGGCGCGGAATCTGTATGCTGCCAGAAAAATGGGGGGAAAAGGCGTGGCTAGCAACGGACAAAACATTGAATAAAATATGACATACCATTCTTTCATAATAAATGTCCAGTTCTTGATGAAAAACAATGAACACTTATTAGTACTCCCAATGTAAAACAGTGACCTAAACATACGAAGGAGCAATAAACCATCTTAATATTTTATTATGGATAAGAATATATGTTATTCAATTTTAAACATTATTGTATTTTTTTCTAATCTAAGAAGCATCATTTATACCATATAAAAATTTCTAAAATAGGGTGAGCTTTTGAATCAACACCATCATAGAGTTCTGCTTTTTTTAATTCTTATCATTAAGAAATATTTTTTCCTTAATTATTAATCTAAAGGAAAACTAAAACATCTATTATGGCTGCCTCCGAATGTTAAGATTCAAGATGGAATGGAATCCCTCCCATTTTTAAGGCTGCAATATTTTTAATTTAGCTTGCATGATTTTTTTTTTTTTCTTCATAAGAGCTTTAATTCTGAGAATAAGATTAATGAATTACATTCATTGAGAAATCTTACTAATAGAACTATCATAATATTGAGGCCATCTAATGCAATGCAGCTTCACACTGCCAAGTATCTTATCATCGTAACTTATAAAATTTATTTTTAGCATTTCCCATCTGAAAGCATAATAGATGAAAACCTTGTGATGAATTCAAAGGTACTCTAAATTAACCAGTCAGGTGACACCGAAGTTATATGAATGTATATAATAAATTTCTGTATAGTGTGCAGTTAGTAGGTAAATATTAATATCGAAAGAGAAATATGCTAATGTAAAATTATGGAAAGCAATCCTGTTTTGGTGTAGATTTTGAATAAAAACTTAACTGATCTTGAGGGTGATCAGAACGAAATTTTTTGTTTTTAAAGAAGAATATTTTAACCAGTTACAGCCAGCTTTTGCTACTAGTAGAATGAAACTGTTTCCTGCTGGCAGAAAGGCCAATGTGTGTTCTAACAAATATAAAATAAAGATTTGCAAAAATATCTTAAATTGGTTATTTTTTATAGCTATCTAGCTATAGCATATTTCAATCGACAAACAATTTAAGGACTATGTATGTAAAAAATATATATCCTGGCTATTGATTGTCTTTTGATAAATTCTGGTTAAATAATAAAGGCATTGGCCTCAATGCTGTCAGAATGGGTTAGTTAGTTCTAAGCACTGGCCCCCAGCCCACCTAGCAGGCAAAACCTGCCATATGGCTATGAGGGGACAGGTCAAGCCACAAAGCATTAAAAAAAAAAAAAAAAAAGTAAAGCAGATAAATACATTCCAAACACTCTTCGTGAAATAATATATAAATGTGTCATATCCATTTCTGTGTTTTTTCCTAAGTTTTAAATCTTTATAAGTTTTACTTTCAATTAGTTATTATTATTCAAATCTTTATATTATCAAAATTCATCTTAAATTTATAAGTTATCTCAATTATTTCTGTTTTGAGTATGATTTTCTTTGTTATATCTCGATACTAATATTCTTCTTATTCTCATTCACAGTCTTGCAAATTTTCTACACAATTTATAGTTACTAAATAAATCCTCAAACTTTGCAAATTTATTTTTTTCTCTCACACTTCCAGTCAGGCAACAGTCCTTGATGAAATGCTTTGAATCACCGCATTTATTACAAACTTTACATATATCAATTTCCTGGAAGTGGAACCTTTTGAAGTAAGCAGGGAACCTTCCATGTGCAGTAGGAATTTAATTGACATCTGCATCTCCTAAAATTCCCATTTTTTGCTAATTTTTAAATATTTTAGATAGTTTTTGTTTCTTTCAGAGAGATCCCATACATTTTCCAGTCTCTAATAAGCTTGTCATATATTATAGTACATGTCGTCTTTTTCGAATCTTGAATAAAAACCTTTCGGTCCCATCCCCAGGCTTCTCTTTCGCTAGAGCATCCGCTCTCTCTCATTCTCATAATGACCAGTGTGAGCTTTGATCCAATGTAAATTCAAAATATGCTTCTTTTGTAGTTCTAAATAAGTATGCTTAATTCCATTAGCAATATTATTCTTTTGTAAGGGACAGAAGAGAGCCTAAGAGCAGATAAGGCATCTGAGTATAAATTAATGTAATATGGATAATTTCTTGATCCAGGATAAAGCTATTTTAATTGCCAACAATTCTGCTTGATAAGCTGAATTTCTTGGTTTTAAAGTAAACGTTTGGTAATCGATTTCAATACTGTGGAAAAATACAACGAAGGCGCAGCCATATTGGGGATGGTTATCAGTTAATACCATTCCCAAAAGAAAAAGGGGGAACAGAGAGACCTTTCATTTTAAAAACCTTGCATAACTAATACAAATGATGCTTCAGATAAGCAGGGTGGTAAAGAGCTTAAAAAGAATCAGATTGTAGATATGAAATACACTAATATTAGTTTAAAATTAAGTCAACAGCATTGAGAAGGAAATATTCCTTGTGATAAATAAATGTCCTAGTCGTCAGTAAATGAAACTACTTTATAATAAAAATGTCTGTTAAAGAAAATTTAGAGTTTATTTACTAAGAATCAGTCTCTCCTTCACTGTCATGGCAATTTGAAAATTTATAGTTGTCTTGCAGTTAATTGTGTTTCACAATCAAAGAAACGTATATTCATTTCTACTCTTGAAAGAATCTGTATCATTATTGCATAGCTTGGATTGCTTGCTTTTGTTCTAACCAAGAATGAAAATTTTTATTATTGTAGGAATCTTCCATTCTGAATGTTGAAGAGAAAGAGCATAGGCAAATAATTACAGACCAAGGGGGTTTAGCAAATAGTTCTTTTGATGAGTAAGTATATTGTGTTGTTTAGCCCAACAGGGTATTAATCTCATGATTTTATGTTTATTCACTTTAATTTTTATCTATTGATGACATTATTTTGCATCACTTTCAGACATTGAGTAGTTTGTTTGCCATATTACATACATGTACTGTATTTGCATAAGAGCAACTCGCGAGTCAAGCTATTGCCACCCCTGCTATATATGCATACTTTAATGTATATATCTAAAAATATTGTTTAGATGCTAATAATCTAAAAATGTGATTGAAATTTTACAGTGTTTCGAAGGGAGGAGGTGGAAAGATGCGAACAAAATTAAATCAGCAGCATCGCCCATGCAAGGAAGTGTCAGAAAATGAGGTAACAGTATCTTTGCATGTTACAAAATATTGATGCTTATATTTCTAATCTGTACTTATAATGTATGCAAGCTAGGTAGCAGTTTATGAGAATAAATACTTTTAATTATGAATTAAATCATCTTTGATGTATTGAGGTATTATTTTTTCAAGTGAATAACAAAATCTATTCAGTTTAATTAGACTGTCAACTCTCCTGCAATTTCATCACACTACCCAATCTCCTAGTTTATAACTGAATCTCCTGGTTTTTAAATTTAAGCCTTTACTTAAAGAAAGTGTTTTTCAGCAATAAATTAAAGTTATTGAATTGATGAAATTTGGAGAAATTTCGTTACCCCACCTGCAGTGATTTTTCAGTGTAATTTTTCTTATGAAAATGTATTTGATCTGAATTGTTTTAATCTAACATAAGTTTTTGAAAAATATTTTGTAAAGATTCAACCAATGTTTAATATATTAATATTTACATTTAATTTTGTTTTACATCAGTATATGATATATTATTATTTTTATTTTCATCGTGTTTAAAAGTACTTGGATAAATTACAGCGTTTGTTCTCTACTCGGGATTTTGTGTAAAATTGTAAGAAACTTACAAAACTGATATTAGCTAAACAACATAAATTTCAGAATATTAAATTAAATATTAATATAGTTTATGTAAAATTGAATTATGATTAGTTGAATAGCCTGGATATATAAAATGAATTTAAGTCAGTTTAAAAGGTCTTTAGAAATGGTATTGCTGCACACAGGAAAACCTCCGGGAAACAGCCAGTTTTTGATATGAAAATTTTAAATTTATAAGCATAGCCACTTTTATCTCAGTACATCCTTACTTTATATCCGTGTTATTGTTTTTTTAGGTAAGTATTGTTTTAACAAACTTCTGCCTTTGAAACGGGTTCGTCAATCGTTTGTTTTTTTTCCCTGGTCAAAACAGACTATTGAATCATTACAACAGAATGAGTCAATACAAGCCGAATTTTCTATAAACTTTGTCAAATGTTTTGTCCTTATTTTTTGCATGACGCTGTTATCATTCAAATGCAGATTGTCCAAAATCCATGAAAACTTCTTTACACCATTTGCTTCACAACATAAGATTCATTCAGTGACCAAAAATCCTGATAGTTTGGGAGTTTTTAAATTCCCATTAGAATGTTTATTCTAAAAAAAAAAAAATCATCATTTCCTGAAACCATCATTAAAAAAAAAAAAAAAAAAAAAAAAAAAAAAAAAAACCCATTCATAAAAAAAAAAAAAAAAAAAAAAAAAAAGAAAGAACCATTTCATTCACAGGTGAAAATGGCTTTTTGAAATGATTTAAATCAAATTCCTCGTCATTATAAATATCACGAATGCACATCAAAGAGTTTTCTGGTTGCAATTTTCTAATTTCGACTATGCGTAATGTATGCTTTATGCATGCGCGCGTTGAAAGAAATGATTAATAAAGTAAACAATTAAATATTAAGCTTTTTTTTTTGTAAATTTTAATACCCTTTAGATCATAATTGCTCTTTATTTCATAAATTACGGTTTAATATTTTTAATTTTATAATTTCTGCATGCCATCATACCAGATTTAAAGTGATGATCTATAATCAGGAGTCATCGAAGTCCCGACGAGTCCGGATTAAAGACTTTTGACTGTATTTGTCGGTATATTTGAACTACAGAGTGTAGCAAACAAAAATGTCTGTGCAGGTCCCAAACTTATGATTTCAGATAGAAAATAAATTGGAATTTTTTTCTTTAGATGATATTATTATTGTCTATGTCTATTTTAATAAATATTTAGTAAGATAAATTTAAAGTTAATATATTTTTATTCAAATAAATAAAATGTTCTAGTCTGATCAGCTGTTTTCAGATGAAGAATTTACCCTGCGTGCAATTTAAATTTAAGATCCCTGACATATTCTTCACTTAAAGTAAAGTTTCTTCACTTAAAGTAAAAACTTCAGATTTTTACTGTGTTTCTTCACTTAAAGTAAAAACTTCAGATGTTTTTTCAGTGTGATTCGCTCGCATGATGCATCTGAGTGTATTACATATTTTTTCTTGTATACTATACTAGCTATGCAGCCAGCCTTCGTCTGGCTTTTAACTGTACCGGAAAAATGCCTGAAGGGAATGCCAAACGTTAAATTTAAAAACTGCGCAGAATTTTACTCTGCAGAACTACTTCATAAAAAAATAATTAAAACCCACAAATAAAAAAAAAACATATTACATATAAAAAAATTACATTGAAATGAGTAATATTCGTTAATACAAATGTTAATTATCCTAATAAATAAATTAACCAACTTCCCATTGCCTTCTCTCAAGAAACATCCAGTATCCAAGAGAAACATTAAATTTAAAAACTGCGCAGAATTATCGCCCTCATTTTTCCAAGTGGCAACAGTGCTGATTTTCAACAGTCAGCAATCCAGTATACAATTGAATGCAAAACTGTTGCCAAAGCCACATTTCTGAAAGAATGAAAATATTTAAAATGATGCGATAAAATTGAAAAGAGAAAATAAAAAAATCTGATTCAAATTTTTAAAAAAACATCGCTTCGAGGTGCACTGGCTCTTGTCTAGGTGGACCAATGTACCAAATTACATAGCTCTGTGTCTATTAGCTTACGCACAGCACGAACGAAAAACACACAGACTCTTTCTTTTATTATATGTAGAGATTATCATTGCTGCCACCAGAAATATTATTTATTGTTAGTATAAGCATTGGTCTCATTAGGATAGTCCATTGAAAATTCATTATTATGTAGCACATTTCCGTATTTACTGGACCGATGCCTTTATAGTAATTCTAGAATTTTTAAGCACATAAAAAGTAATGTAAATATTAGAGACTTTTTTTTTTTTTTTTTTTTTTTTAAGTAAATATCTGTAATATTAACTGTTCCTGTGCAAGGTGACTATAAAGCATTGTGAAATGTATTCAAAGTGTGGTCAGGTCATTTAAATTTGCCAGAGCACTTCAGGGCTATATACTTGTAAGGAGGGATGACTTTCTAAAGGAAATTGGCTCATATTCATGTTAGATGTGGTGTGTTAATGACTTCTAGATGCTCCAGCTGGGAATATCCTGGGGTTCAATCGGAATTCGTAATTAAGTTGTAAGAAATTATTAAGTTGAATGTCATTTCAATTTTTAAGATTAATTATAAAATTTAATGTAATAAAATTGCAAAATTTATTTTTATGTAGTTCATAAATTTATTTTATCAAAATTGTACTTATTTTTTAGGTGAATTATGATGCTCCTTTGCCTAATATACCTTTACCAATTTCAAAGTTGCCTACCTTCACTTTTCATCCTGACAGTCAAGTGGACAAGACTAGTTCTGTTGCAAAAAGCATGTCTTCCTTTGCTTATCAACCTGATAGACAAGTGGACAAAACCAGTTCTGTTTCCAAAGGATTTGTGTTTTCAGATCCGATAGAGCTAATGTTACCCAATTCAGCACTGCCTGAAACATCTGTTGTAAGTTTTAATTGATAGGCTTTTCAAAGTTTTTTGTTGTTTTTTTGTGTTTTCTTTTTTAATGTAGAAATATATTTATGGTTTTATTTGCAGTCTCAAGAGGGAACCGCTCAAACAGATCTTGTCAAAAATGACCAGAGTGGAAAATCTTTCAAATTTTCAAGCCCAATTGAACATACATTACCAGCACCCGATCTACCTTCAACAGAAGCTGTAAGTCTTTTTTTCTCCCTTCTCTTATTTACAGTTGCATGTGGCTTAAAAATAGCATTAATTGTAAATGCATAGGTATGTTTCTTTCAGTGAAAATTTTCTAGTGTTAAGTAATCTGGATTTTGTAAATTTTGTAACTGAATTCCATTAACTTTATTGTATGTAGATTAGACTATAATGTGTTTTTTGATATCAAATAATTTTTTGAATACATTAAAATAAACATTTTTAAATTAGTAAATTGTATTCAGAAGTTGAGTCAAGCTTTGACAACATGACCCCTTCCAGAATAGTTATTATTTGTTTCTTTTTGAGAGTCCTTTTCAGCCTATTCTAATGAACACACAGTATTGAAACTTGGAATACATGTAACTGAATCCATAGGCAAAAAATTTTAAAAAGAAAAGTTCAAATTTTGACCTTAAGCCTTTTTCAATGAAATTTTGCTTAAAATAGATGAGATCCTTCTGTGTGAATTAGAAAATACTCTTCTGTATAGAGAGCAAAACCATTGGTATTAGAAAACTTGTTTAGATGTAAGTATGCCTCTAGAGAAAAAAAAAGAACATATGGGAAAGACTTTGATTAGGAAAGACGATGAAGAAATTTGAAGATTGGAAACCTCAGCATAGCTTAAGGAAGGAGATGGTTGCCCATTTTATAAAAAAATTGTTAAAAGAAGTGACAGTGTAGTGGGTAACAGAGTTTCTTGCTCTCAGTATTCAGTAATATGTCAAAGAAATATTCAGTAATATCCCATACAGCACACTTAGTTGCTCAGACGTTGCAGTGACCTCTCAATGTTGCATTTTCTTCACATTACATTTGTGACCACGGTACAGCGTCGCAGAAATGTCGCATTGCGATGTGGATGTGAATGTAGTACGAATGTCACACACTTGTCACAGCAAACATTTAATGTGACAACAAGAATTTCGAAGTCTTCCCCGCCCTGACCGTTCTTGACCTTGCTCACATAATTCTTTAATGGGAGGTATTCTTGCGTGTTGACCTCCCGTTGATTCATTGCTATGTACGAGGGCCATCCAGGAAGTAGATTACGTTTCCGTCTGTGTCCGCTAGGGGCGGGGCTAGCGCGGCCATCTTAGGGTCAGAGCGTTGCGCAGCTCAGTCTGCATCTAGCCGTGCTAGTGAGAGGTTCGTGCTGTGCTCCGTTCAGATACTGTGACGGTTTGAGATGTCTGCGTTAATTGAAAATCCCGCGAGCTGCGAGGTGCGCTCAGTAATAAGGTTTCTGACTGCAAAAAACTGTAAACCGATAGAAATCTATCGGCAGCTTCGTGAAGTGTATGGGGACAACATTATCACTGAAGGTGGAGTGCGTCAGTGGGTCATAAGATTTCAAAATGGCCGAACCAATGTTCACGACGAAGATCGAAGTGGGAGACCCAGCATAGTGACCGCCGAACTTCTCGAAAAAGTCGATGCTAAAGTCCGTGAAATCGAAATTTCACAATAACGGAACTTTCTTTGAGTTTTCCCCACAATTTCGCGAAGTTTTGTTGCACGAAATCATCAGCGAAAAGCTTGGTTACCACAAGTTTGTGCAAGATGGAAGGCAAGAAGAGGTAACGAAGTGGTTGAAGGCGCAGGCGGCCGAATTTTTCGACGAAGGAATTTCCAAGCTCGTACATCGCTACGATAAATGCCTTAATTTGTATGGTGACTATGTAGAAAAGTAGTATTTGAGTGTGGCTTTCATCTGTATATAATAAAATTTGTTTCCTATACTTTGTTTATTTTTTTATTCCAAAACGTAATCTACTTTCTGGATAGCCCTCGTATTTCAGTAAGCCTTTCTAAGTAAATTATTCTTTTATGCTTATAGCTTGCAATTTTAGTTATTTTTTTTATTAAAAATATTAACAGCTTTTAGCGTGTTTTTATTGATGTGGTACTTCGAAATCATTGAACTATATTCTGTGGTGAATGCATTCACATTCTACCGAATCTAGTGTTATTAAGAGAGACTGACGAAAGAGTTTGTTGTCTGCATAGCGTTTGTCTTAAGGATTTTCGCGACCGTTTTTTTAGTTCTGTTCACCGAACACATCATCTATGCTACATTTTCAGGTAAGCACTGTTTTTGTACATTGACGTGAATGATATCAGTAATAATTAATATGTAATAATAAAAGTGTAATTTAAATGCTATGAACAAAAAGAACTATTGGCAGTAGGTTAACTTTTATTTGTATTACAAAGAGTACGGAAGCAAGGGCCATTATCAAAAGTCATCTTATTTTTGTCTTACTGCTTAGAAATTTTAATTTACGGAGTTAGGTTTATTTGGTAGATATAGTTCACTTTTTGTTGTTTTTAATGTTAAAAGATAATGAGAAAAAAGAATTGATTTTACTGCAGTACTTTCATCGTGTTCAGCTATTTTTCGAAATTATTGACAACTTACTTCCATGCGTGGTACTTAGCGCCACATTATAAATGATGCCATACTTCCATCTAAATCCAGTATCTAAATTTCTGAGATTAGTTTTTAAATTTATTATATCAGATTTTTTGTTTTCGCAAATTATGTCACACTTTTATGTATAATATATTTGTGTTGTTAAAGTAACCCAATTTCCTTATTAAGAGATTTAGTTAGAGAAAAATATTACCTAGTTTAGGTCAAATTATTTGAATATGGCAAAACATATGTGGGCTGCCTACTTAGGGAACGGATGCCTTCGTGGAGAACTTTCTAAGGAAACTAAGTCGTATTTACTTTATATATTAAAGAAAACATGAAAACCTGTGATAAGTATTTACTTAAAAGATTAAAAGAATATATTTATTGTATTAATTTTTCAAATAGATACATAAATTATTTAAATGATAAAAATATAAAAATAAGGAAATTACATTTCATCGTTACTTATATATGAAGTTAAAATTTCACTTTTGACAAAAGAGTATAAATTAATATTAATTTGTCTCTAAAAGTACAAGTTACTTCATGTTATAAAGAAACCAAATTTCAGATTGTATTTTAAGAAAATTTAACCTATTGCAGATAATTTTATAAATGTAATGAAAATTACTGTAAATTGAAATGTATTCTGAAGCTTCATCGATGAACTTTATTTGAAATAATAATTTTATTTTAAATTAATATATATTACATCTGCGAACAAGATATTTTATTTTGTTATTATAAACTCAAAAATTACATCTAACCCTCTAATTAAATTATCTAAGCTTATCACATCTAGTTTTTCTTTAATGTATCATTTTCAGAAATAGACATTTAAAAGATACTAATTTCTGCAATCGTGTTAAAAAAGCTTAAAAAAATTAAGAAAGGAATCTTGCGCAAAGAAATTTAGAAATTTCATTGTGATAACTTAGAAATTCGCATATTATAAAACGCTGTTGAATTAAAGTCTCTCTCAAACAGGGGAAGAAAAACTTATTTTAAGGTAAAATATAACTTCATAGAATTATTTTTATTGGGACAGACCTCAGTTCTTTCCCACATTTAAATAAGCAAATAAATTTGTTTGGACATTTTATAACAGAAAGCCAATCTCTGAAAGCTCCGTATAATTGCGCTACATTATAGTGGGACAAACAAATATTTCTTTCATTGTAAGAGGAGGAGTTTTATATTTTAATTATTTTTTAATTTTAACAAAAGTTTTAAAGTTATTCCTACAAAATTAAGTAGTTTATTTTCATAAGTACAGCCAATTTCAATTTGAACTTCAGTATATAACTGAAATTCAGTTTTAATTGCATAGATTCTAAAATGAAAGACATAAAACATGTTTTCATATTTCATTTCACTTTGTGTTTTCATTTTTTTATATTAAAGAAATCAAATAATCTATTTCTCTTCAGTTAAAAGTATACAAAGGAAACTGTTTCTTTAATTCCCGTGTAGTAAAAAAAAACTATAACATCATTGCTAAAACATGTATTGATGGCTTTTTGACATCTTAACAGTTAAATCATTTCTGATTTCAATAAAGAAATCAAATGAAAAATTTAAAGAAAGTTTATGCATCTCTGGTATTTTTCTTGTCAATAATCGCTTCATTCTTAATAATAATTTTAAAATTTATTTTCAATTATTATATATTAATTATTACTGCTATCATTCAAGTCAGTATACAGTAAGTGTTTACTCCCCATATATGTTGATTAAATAAAAGAACTTGCGAACTTTAACGAATGAGGGGGGAGGTGTTAAGAAATATAGTTATTATAAACATTGCAAGCCAAATAATACTTTTTTGAAATGTTTATTTTGAAAGAGGGAGAAGAAGGGGTTAAATTAAGAAATAAAATAAAATTTTTAATAAGTTATAATTCAGATTTTTAATACAATTTAAAAATTTTGCAAAAAAATTAACTGTCTTTAAATATTAAATTCTAAAGAATGAAAGCAAAATTATGTAGCTTCTGGGCAGCTTATACTCAAAAGTATTAGCAATGTAATATGGCTAGAAAATGACCATATGATCACTTTTGCATCATATATATAGTAATGCATTCTGCATTTTCTGTACGCTCTAGTTTACAGTTATGTAACCTTAATAGGGTGAGATAACAACCTCAGTAAGATGAGAAAATTTCAAATGATTATATTAGATATTTTCAATTATTTAAAAATTTTGAATATTACAAAAGTACTAATTCAGAAGTCAAACAACCAAAATCAGCGTTATATTTACAAAATTTTCACAGGACTAGTTTCGATGGTTTTACCGAACCACCATCCTCAGCTGCAAAACCGCAAATGAACAAGATAGGAAATAATGATTAGATAAGATAAGAAAACCTGGACAAGAATAATCTGTTGGTGAAACCAGAACTAAAACATAATTTCTTTAAAGGCCGAAGGCAAATTTGGATTGGAATTAGGATCGTTAACTAGAACAGAAAGATTTTTATGAATGTGAAATGCCTCTAGAAAATCCAGTTCTCCAACGGAAGATGTTTTTTGAATAATTTTGGCAGCAGAAAAATTGAAAGTG